GACAATGTCGCGTTGGGTGCATTCGCGTCTCGCAGTGCAGCAACGAGCTTTGTTCTGAAGACAGCAAATTTAGCTTGACTATGAAGAACGTAGACAAGTTCAGTAATCCAGACAACCATAGACGCACCTATGTCTTTAACATTTATACTACAATTTATTGTCATTAACATTTATAAAACTGCTTTCCTCTTAGGATTGTAAAAAGTATTTTTTCCGTGACAGTTTTTTCTCGCTTCTTTTCTACTATAAAACAAGCTTTTATGACTAGCGCAAAAAAGTTTGATGAACAAAATTTCTGGAGCCGCGGCTCAAATCTACAGCCTTCTGAAATTGTGATTGGCTTAGGTCAATCAGCTGATTGACCTAAACTCCAGGTACGCTCCAGCGTGCAATCTAAGATGCATGACTGATTTATGCGTAGGAAAGCGTTTAATAATTGTCCTAAAGCTAATTGTTTTCCTGTTGGTTTATTGGCATGGGCTGAGATTTATATATATCGTAAAAAGATAGAAAAAATATATAACATCATACGTATGTGAACATTGTGAATGTAGAATGAATAGAATCTTTAATGCGCATGACAGTATTGTTGGCCTAGCTCAAAATAATTGTGATTTTCTCTATTTAGTTTTGCTTCAAGCCCTTTGGCGCATGTGGCCTGTTAATTTCACGCATATGAACTACCAACCCAAGAAAAGGGAAAGTGAGCGTTTAGTAACATCAGGTCATAATCCTTGTGATGCCTAAACGAGCCACGTTTGTCAGAATGTTTTTAAGACAGCATGCTACAAACCATAAATGAAAATAAAACAAATTTTAGACGAGATTAAATTGAATTAAATTGGCGATAAGAACGCGTCGGGATCGTGAAATGGAACGCTAAGGCGTCCGTCTCGCTCTCACAACGTTAAACTAACATTATGGAGTAATTATGTGCTGTCTTATAAGCTTTCTAGGTATCTAGAAAAAAAAAAAAAAACGAAATATATAGAGAGAAATAAATGAAGTTTCTAAGTAAACCTTGTCCTAAGACATAAAACGCAAGGCAAGTTTCGGTGTGTTCATAGATTACACTTAAGAAATGACATAATTGGCGTAGATTTACTGAGTAGAACAATGTTTAGAATACAACCAAAGAATAACCCTATCCCAGTCTACTCACCTGAATTCACCTTGAAGTTTTGAAGTACATTTGAGCAGGGTGGAAAAGAACGGTTACTCATTTGCGTTGCTTGTGGAGGGATAGTGTGCCTCTTAAGAGTACAGCCGATGGGAGAAAAAAGGACTACGTTAAAAAAATGTCAAGAGTGATGCTCTACATGCATAAAGTAAGCTATGGGATTAAGGAAATAGTCGAAAGAAACAAATAACTGCATTAATTTTCTGCTTTTTAAAAGCTGAGCGTAAAATTTGAGTGAGTGAAAGGCCAGATTTTTTTCCCTAGAACTAACATCGTAAGCAGTTCATGGAGTATGCCGTGGACTTCGTATGTGACTCTACCTTCATTGTGGGGGATGGCGTATACATGTATTAGACAGTGAGGTTGATAGATTATTATATTCGGGGACAACATTTTATAACTATGATATCAAAGCTAAAGGCGTACTTTGAGCGCCAATCAAAGCTGTGCACGAGAACTCTTCGCTTGTGAAATTCCACAGAAAGTTGCCCACGCGTACAATAGGCTAAAAGGGTATTCGTTAGCAATTACATTTGTACATTCGGGAATTGGACAGAGAACTAAAATGAGAATGCGGATGTGTGCGAATTTTTGAAGCTAACGATCAATTAAGAGAACAGGAGGAATTTCTGTCGTGTTTTATTTATCCCCGCACGAAGATTAAACTTGTTTCAGAACTCCCTTGATTTTTTATAGTGGGCCTACACTCGCATTTACGAGGTTGTTTGAAGCGTACTCATTAAGGTGGATAATACGGAGTTTCCTGTTATTCGTGATTTCATAGTTGCTTTTATTAAATATATAGTCGTAAATGAGCACTCGTGTGGGCATCTAATTTACCTACTGCGTTGACTTCAGGGACACCTATTATTTCCAGGCATGCAACTTCAACTTCACTTCGCGTCACACCAGGTGACAGAGCAGTCGACACCGCGATTTGATGAAGCCAATCTTGGTCCCCTAAACTCGTCAAACAGAAAGTCTGGGCCGAAGTTGACGGAGCGCACCGATTGGCCTACTCCGACAATGAATCTGCGCTTTTTTCACCGAAGTCCGATCAGCGCACTCCGCGGCTCCAACTTTGTGTTTGACGAATTCAGGGCTCCCCAGCAGCGCCAAAATTTTTTTTCTCGGCACTTTGAAATGCTCTTTGTGCATTTGCTACCCTGGTCACAAGTAATAACGCTCAGTAAATGCGCAACAGTCCTGCGCTTTTGCCTGGGCGTGGTTAGTTTAGCCTGGGACAGTCAACAAACAAAAGTGACGACCGCCCTGACGGTGCGCTTTTAGCGCTGATTCATTGGCTGCACGGTGTCGCATACCGCCGGCTGCGCTCGGACTCAGTGTCAAACGGAGTATGGCCCAGGAACTATGCAACATTCCAAGGCCTATCAGCCACGCTGAAAATGCAGTTCTTGGGCTATGGACGGATGCAGATCGTCAGATATCCCGAATGAGTGAGCTATAGACCTTTTTCGTGTACTGTCGTCCCCAGCCACTTAATAGCCCTACCGAAAAATCCGGTATAACTTTCCCTATCCGGAATATGGAACCGGAAATTTGTTACTGGAAGCCCCAAATCCAGATTGAGAACAAAGGAATAATTTCTGAAAACCTAAATTCCAGATAGAGTCCAGATAGAATCCAGATAGATTTCCGGTTCCATAATCCGGACAGCGAAAAGTTATACCGGATTTTTCGGTAGGGAGGCGTACCCGGTATGGGCGACGAAAAAATATCAAAACGTTTCAACCTGCGAATAGTAAAAAAATAAAGGGGAGGCAAAACGAGAATGTGTGACGGTTACGTTTATGTCCTAAATGCCTTCTATTGGCGTGGCGATGGCAAAACAATGTTTTCGCCCATACTGGAAATGACGACAATTCAAGATGGCGGCGCCCTTGCAAGAATGGACTATTGAACACTCTGGGAACGCGTCTGAAAGCCGAGTTGGGAAGGATGGCGCCGTGCAGAAGGCGACTGTTGGAACTCTCTATGCTCCGCTAAACAATAAAACTAAAATCGTTTTTTTTTTTTTTGTAGTGGTTTGTTTCGAACAATAGACACCGCGAAGACAAAGACATGGGGTCATCCTGATTAGATCGTTTTTATTCCGTGGGCAAAATTTCTTGCAATAACAAGTTTTGTGTATTGATTGTCGCGTGGAACATTTTTTGACGGTTGTTACCAAGTTAGTCCAAAATAAATGGCAGTATACAAAAATATAAAACGTAACAGCATGCTAATTGAAATTAAACCTATGAATTATATAAATAAATATTATGACTAGTGTCCAAATGCAGTACGGCTGTGCCTTTAGAAACACATTTTATATATTTCGTAGACAGTATCCCCCTCATACGCACACACACACACACACACAAGAAAAAGCATGCCACCAACTTTAGGAGCTGGATGTTAACTTTCGTCTAGTGAAACATTAAATGACGCACGCGCAATGACAATGAGAAACTAATATGTTTGTGGTTCGAACAAGGCGCTCATTTAATTGAGATGACTGTCCTTTGCTACCAGAGACATACCACGAAGATGAGCTTACACAACGATTGCGCGACGCGCATTTAGAACCCTCTAGATTGTCGTTCCTATTGTAAATGATATCTCCGAGCAACAGGGTGACTTTGGGCTATGAACGACCTTCAAGAATTGCGGTGGCGAGAGGTAACTAATCAAGCTAAAATAAGATATGGAAAATAAATTTTTTTCTCAGCGGCATAGACCCGCTGGCACATCAGAAAAACACTTGAATTTGTACTATCTCGGCATCCTATGGTGCCTAACTTGAGCCTAAAACGGACTTGCTCTAAGGCGTTAGCCATTGCCACAGTGCATTTCCCTGGTGTTTCTATGAATTCTTTATGGCTCGTCACATGATTGCCAAAGTGCCAGAGTTGAGGCAAATATGCCACGTATGAACCAAACAACCCTTGTGAAGCATAAATATGGCATTTTGTTTTGTGATTTAAACTCAAAGATGCCACATGACAGCCAAACTACAAGTAGTAAAGCCTAACATTGTCAGTTGTTTTGCGAATTAGGCCAAGGTACACAGACTGGCCAAAGGTCAAATTTGGCTCTAGCTTGGCTTCTTTGGGTTTTTTGAGGAGCTGACTTTCCAGACAAACAGAAATTTTGGACCAAAGGACTGTGCTACTTGAGATTGTAATTGTTTTACAAAAGTGTGATGAGATGCGCATCGTTTTTGAAATACGCCTTGCGTTTTTTTTAAAATCTAAAATAGAAGTAAAACACCGCTTTCCTATGATTCACTCGTTGTAAGCCAAAATTTAAACCAAAAGCGTAACTGTGTAACATTAGAATGTATCTGATTGAAAAGGACGTTAAGCTAGAACATATTGACAAAAATATATTTCTCACTTTTGTTTTGTCACATGGCTCACTGGTCACGCGACTATATGAGTAGACGTCCCAACTTGCCCTTTCGTTTCGGAAAAAAAAGAAAGCGGCCTTATTTCTGCCCCTTGAGCAGCTTTTTCGATATTTTAAACAAAGAAATGCAGAATGCAACCACAGATGTGCACAAAACTATATTGTTGCCCATAGGAAAACCACGTTTTTTTTTAATTTATAAAAAAAAGAAACTAATTTTATTGCTTCCCGAACGAATGATAATTGTTTTCTCTTTTGCTTGGTATTATATGCTTGAAACTTGATGCAAAGGTGATAACCGTGCGCGAATAATGCTTTCTTGTATTTACAAATACAGCAAGGTGCGAATGGTGGAGAGCAAGTGCTTCCCAGCATTCGCTGGGAAGCACTTGCTTGCAGACTTCTCAGACTAGATGACCCGGGTGACGTTCGAATAAAGTCAGGTGGACGTGGTTTTCTGTCCCGTTGAAGACAAGGTGTTCTTGGACATGGTCTGGTCGAAACTTCGTTTGCGGGAAGTTGGGAGGACCTTGTAGACCAGGTTGCCAAGCCAAAATTCCCGCGCTGTCTTCTCATACGCGACCTGCAACATCGAGTAACATAAAGCGCACTGAATAAAATTCCGTCGAGGGGTGGTCCTGATCAGAATTCATTTTTACACTGTTTAAAGTCAGAGTTTAGGCATAAACATACACTTACGTTTAAAGACACCATATTGTGCTCAAATCGCTAATCGACTAATTGAAAGTGTTTTTATTTTGCAGTTTTTTTTTCCATGAATACTGCAGAATAGAAATTGGTTTTAACTATAACCGAGGCTCCACATAAGCATAGGTATAAGGTAACGTTCTACTCCGTTTCTTTACGGCACTTAAATATGTGATTTCGGATGGTGCCGTCTGCCAAGCTGCTAGCAGCTAAGGATGTATTCCTGCGAGTTTCTGTCAGAAGGCCTTTAACTGGTGCACATGACGGATAATGTACTTACCTAAATTCCTGGCCCTTCTCTCAGACGTCCATGAAAGATTAATTGATTTTTTCATTATGAACGTCCCAAAGATATCGGACACTTTGCTAGTATAAACCTTTGCATCTCTTATCACCCGGGAAAAATGCGGTGCCAGTGAGCTGGGGAAGCATACGCGGGGTCCAATCGCACAGAAGATCACAAGTGTATGCTCAGAAGGAGTTCCACAGTCCAGCAGACAAAGATGGCAGCGAACAGAAGGCGAGTTTTGCAAATGTCTATAAAATACATGAATTATTAACAGTAGTATCAAAGGCAATAAAGCCGAGCGCTGAAATGGCACTCTCGTCCGACAAAAACGGAATAAAAAGGCTAAAGGTAGAAAGGAGAAGAAATTAACATCCCCGGCTTTTGTTCATTAGTATTCTTATTATTTATTATGTAGTATTCTTTAGTCTTTAGTATCACACTTTTACTAATACCACCAGGCTCTAAAGTGTCTTTAGGATTTGTTTTTTGTTTCGGGAAAAGTTGGTGGGTTTCTTATCGGTTGTGTCGAAGGAGCGCAGCTCGGCCGCTCATAACGCGAAGACTGACACTCTCACAGCATGACCTCAAATTCCTATCCAGTCGGCTTTTTATGTCGAAAGACATTGTATAGTGCTTGCAATCCTGATTACTGCCTGATACAAGTAAAATATACAAGCTGTGCAGACGTACTGAACTGGGCAAACTGAGCCTCAGGAGCAGAAACAATATATGTGTGCGAATTTTCATAACAGGCTACGTTTCCTGCGTCTAAACCTTCCTATCACTAGGTTTTTTTTTATTTAGGTACAGGCAGACAAACTCTGCGCAGTAAGCCCCAGTCCGGTTTTATTAAAGTCAGAAAAAACTGAAATATAACAAAAGTACCTGTCGTTGCTAAAAAAAAAAAATCTAACCGAAAAGAAATACATCTACATATTTATCCTGTAGTAATTCCAGACACACCCACTTGTCCGCAAGGCTGCTCCTGTCTGTGGTAACCACACAGCTTACAGTTTTTATTGTATTTATTTTTACTTGATGGTTTGCTAAGGATATTGGTCACGCGCGCGTTAACTGGAGGCTGAGAAATCCAATGCCCGTTGTCCCGTTTTCTTAAGACGGATGCCAGAAAAAAGCTTTCATAATTGTCTGGCACCGAAAACAAACGCCAAAAAAAGAATACCTGGGAGCCGTTAAAAAAACAAAACAAAAACACCCAAGCTCGAATTTTCCCCTCCCTCTCCCTTTATCTTCTTCCTGCGAAAGCAGGAAACCTTGCCTATAACAAATCTGTGACATATATCTTCGCAGCAAAATCTAACTACTCTTGTCCTCTATTTTATGAAAACTGAAGACAAGCTAGTCGAATTTATGTGGCTAGTCCAGACTACAACAAATGCGTCCAGTCACTTACGTGGAAGAGGAATATGACGAATCCCTGCAAGGAGCTGGACGCTACGAAGAGGTACTCGAAGAGTCGACCCCAACTTCGGGATGCTTCTTCGAGAAGACTCAGATAGGCAAAGATCCAGGTGAGTCCTGCGAGCATTTTAATGCGAGATACCTTATTAAATTCCTTCTGAGGGCTGGTTAAGACCAGGTATTTGCGGACCATTGTCGGTCTTCAAGTTCAACGTTGAGCCTCGAGGCGAACCTTCAAGCGTTTAGCAAAATTCGAAAGCGTTGGACACTTGAGCAGTGTTGCCTGACGCCTGCTCAAATGTTTGGAACATCTGGGAGAAAATATTCTATGCACTAACTTTCCTTATCATTTACACAGTACAAAGGTAAACACATAACCTTCTAAAGATTCAGCAAGTTCGTTAAATGAAAACAATATATAACCCATTTAAATTGCGCGTCCTCCAACGTAACGCACAGTCAGCTCGTTATTACTTTCGCGCATGTCGATAATAGTCCATCTTCGGTCGAATGTCTGTGAAACTTCGCGCTAAAAGTTCGTAAAAGTTGAACCTGGTCAAACTCAAACCTCGGCAACTTTACAGGACCACTATTTGAGATATTTCTCTTTAGGTGTGGTTTGTGACTGCTTGAAACTGACTACTACAAGATAGCACACTGGTGCCATTTACCGGATAGCCGGAACACTCCCGACCCGCGTTTATTTCCTAAATTGTTACACTTAGGATTTTCACCACGGGCTTAAAATAATTTTAGCAATGTTATAAGACTCATAGCTAGTGCGTGAGCTTGATGTCGGAAAGAGTGCGAAACTTTCTAGCCAGTTCCAGAAATATTTTCAGACAGGAACTGGGCCACTGCTACTCGATAGATAACGCCACTGTGTTTTTGTGACTTCGAAAAAAAAAAAAAGACAAAAAAGATAAAAAAAAAACAAAAACCAAAAAAAAACAAGTTGGATGAAAATTATAAGATATGTTTGTGCGTAAAGTTGAATGTGTATAGTATTTGACTCGAACGTAACAATAGACATGTAAACAAATACAGGAGGATGCCTAAGTTTCGCCTTTAAGAGTGGAACGCGATAGCTAAACATATAAACATCCGCTCGTTCCCAAGCCGAGTATGCGTTTCTGCGTGCACCTAGTCGTTGGCGCGCCTAACTCGTAACCGAAGGGTCGTGGGTTCGAATCCCGCCTGCGCCTAAAATTGTTCAGATTATTTTTACTAAAGGCTGATGCTTCATTTTATAGAGTGAAATTTACATCTCGTGTTTGGTTATGAAGAGGGGAAACAGCGCCAAAAGTACGGAGGACAAAGAACGAGGAACACACAGACCGAGCGCTGACAGACAACTTGTTTCTTTCTGGAAAACCACTTACCGGCGTAAAACACGAGACAAACATACATACGACCATCGCCTAAGGGCAAGTGTCACAGCTCTCCAAGAACGCGATTTCTTTATCTAAGAGCGCGATCGAGAGACACTGACGCACTCAACTTATACTTAGAAATGTAACAAGCCTCGAATATTTCACGAGTCACCTGCTGACTGTGTCCTCCGTACCTTTGGCGCTGTTTCGCTCCTCATAACTGTGCATAAAGGGGTATTCACACGAGGGAGAAATCCCGGGGATTTCTCCCCGGCACGCGCGCATCACGAGATGAAAACGCGAGGCTTTAGCACATCGCAAAGCCTGACGTTTTCGTCGTGGGATGCGCGTGCCGGGGAGAAATCCCCGGGATTTCTCCCTCGTGTGAATACCCCTTTACTCGCCCAACTTTCAACGGTGTCGCGTTTGATTCACTTTAATTTTTCGCGTTACGTCACGTTTCACGGGAGCGCTGTGGGTTGTTTGAAATTCTCGCGCTAGGTCATGTGGCTGTGACGTCGGGATCCTATCGACCAATCAGAATTTTCCCGTCCTACCGACGTCGGCTTTCCTGCGGCCCGTGCTCCTAACACTATCTTGATATTTGGCGTTTGGTATACATCAATCAAAAATATCCCAAGTAGCACACTTCCTCGGCCCAGGCTTGGGCCAGGCTGGCTCGAGTTAGAGCCAACTTGGCTCAAGCCTGGCCCAAGCTTGCACCAAACTGGCCCAAGTATGAGCGGGGAAGTGTGCTGCTAGGGATAACATTGATGTTCGTGGTCCTGAAGGCCAAATAAAGACGACTCAAGGGTTTTTTCTCAAACACACGATCGCTTCAGTTTCCCTTTAAGCAGTGGCATGCAGTTGCAACGCCGTCAGTCACATTCAAACGCAAATGTCTAAACCAACATTTATGTGAATATTAAAAAAAAAAAGAATCTGCCTAAATGTTGCTGTTGAGAAAGTTGATGCCTAACTAAAAAAATATTGGCACCCAGAGCTCGCGCTGACGTGCGTGGCATGCGCTAAGGCGTGCGTCAGGAACGGCATCTGGAATTCGAAAACAATTTGATCAAAGGTTCTGTTACCAAAATACAATGAAACAAAATATAGGGGTGCCTAAAGGAGTGCTCCGGCGTTTTCTTTATTGTCCCCGGTTTGCCTGAAAATTTTTTAAACTCTCCAAAAAACATCGCTGAAATAGCATCTAAAAGCTTTTTTTTTGTTTTTCAAACTAAAAGGTTTTATTGAAAACAATAAAAACAAAAGTGGCACCACCGGCAGGCAGAAGTTCACTCTTTTGACTATAGTATTTGTTCACAACTGTACCCCCCCCCCCCCTCCCCTTACTTCAGTCAGCCTCCCGTCTCATGCGGCGCCATCTATATTTTCGTTTCAAAACAGTGTGTTCCACAGTGTACGGTGGAACGCCACCTAGACGCCGTGCTTCAAAGCATACGTATTCCACAGAATACAGTGCAGTTATCATAGCAGCCGTCCGGCGCGTCGAACGACCGGAGCCGAGCCGTGGGTAAAAAGGGCTGTACTGTTCTTGCAAGCAGCTTCTAAGAGCGGTTCCGTAAAAGAGCTAATCTTTTAAAGTGACCACAGTCTATTTCTCAGACTGCCTGCTCGAATGACAAGCGTGCCTGCTACTGACGTGATAACACTAAAGAGTGCGGGTATATTTGAGTGTTTGTTTTTTCATAATTTTCATTTGCCGCTTTCACAATAATTATTCTGAATTTCGCGATACTAAAGAGCTTACCGGAAAGGGTAAAGGCTGTGTGTAACGCTGTGCCTAACAGCAGCTCGTTGCTTTGGCACCGTAACTAAGATACTATAACAGTTTGTTGAGTGATTCATCACTAGTAGGAGTCGGATTACTGAAAACTTTGCTCATTGTTTGCTTGATTTAGCTGAAAGAAAAAACGTTATTCATTCAACAGCCCTTCGGTGCTTACTAAAATAAATATATCAGCAATTAAAACGAGTGCTCGTGCTATGCTGCTCTACGCACCGAATTGCCTCTTGAAATTTGTTAGTAACATGGGGAAGGAATTAATTTTTTAAGTTAGTGTATTCATCCTTGCTTCAAGATATGTTCACGAAGTGAAAACAGTCAAAACGGCCTTAGTTATGCCAGAAGGCAATAGCCGAGTTCCTGCGCTGGGTCCTACGTTCTGAGTTTTTTCAGCGTGCTGTTTCGTGGTATAGTCTCTTAACGCGCTATACTTTGTTGTTTCGTTGCGTGCTGTTTGGTCACCAGGCTGGTGAACACTGATCTGTTTCTATGCGAGCTGATTTTTTTACCTTAAGTCACGTTTAATTTATTCTCTGTTGACGCTGAAACGAATGACAAACGTTTTCACAGACGGATACTGCATTTTATTTATATAAAAGATGTTTCTATTTTAAAAGGAACAGATGAAACGAAAGTACTTGCGTTAGGATTCTTTAAGAACTGATCATAAGTTGGTGAACATTGAGGTCACGAGAACCGTTGCGATAAGGCCTATTTATTGAGATAATTACCAAGCACGTTTTAATAACTTTTCTAAATTTAAATTTTTTGGGACAGGATTCAGTTGGAGAAATGACGCTCGACCTACTTATATAATACAGCCGTGACGAGAAAATTTGGAAAAATATCTGAAGTGTGCGCTACAAGGCGAGAAATGCGATCTTTGTACCCAGCTTCAAAACCGAAACAACCGCCAAAAGGCACTCGTAGCGTTGATCACTCTGTTTTTTGCCTGCTCCGCAATTTACATGTCGGCGCTGTAGATGACATCAGCATAGTGACACAAGCGTAAGACGTAGTCATCGAAGTTTTGGTTTAATGCCGTGTACAAGGATGACATTTATCGCCTCGTAGTGCCCACTATACATATTTTAATTAAAATTCTACGTCACTGCTAGACTGTAATGAACATGATGAGGTCGGCATCAATTTTGAAACTAAATTTAGCCCCCAAATGTTAAAGAAAAAAGTTAATTTGAAGTTTATGGTTAATTAGCCAATTACCCGAATTCACCTCTTCCTATCACAGCCAACTTAGCCAAAGGGCAAGTTCCCTTTAAAGAAAAATTCTGGTTTCTTACAAATCTACATTGTACACCTCTGGTGACAACCATCATTGGGAGTATTTTCTCTCTCACCCAGAAGGAACACAATGCAGATGGTTGCCCTCAGTTGGGCCTTGGCGAGCGCGGCCTGGCTCTGGCTACTCCGAAGTCCCTTGTGCCGCCGGCAGTAGATGCTGAAGATGACAACGCCGAACACAACGCAGTTGGCGAACAAAATGGTGGCCACAGGAACCAGGAATGAGTAGAGCAAGATATCTTTGCCGAGCCAACATCTGTAAAAAAATTGCGATTGACGTAAGCAATGTATTGTCTAAACGCTTACGCAGCCCATTGTCTCTCGACGGAGGCACGTGATGGTTTCGCAGTTGGAGAGAAGTTTATCCAGTGCAGTACGACCGCTAGCCTAGAGACTTTAACGAGCAATGCTCAGCAAAAATTACACAACCGAACGTCGATACTATGCTTATCAAGATTTAAGCAGGAAGGTGCGGGGATCGAGTTCAGGATCTTTGGGTTCTACAGCGTAAACATTCGCTCCACGTGGTCCGAGCTACGGTGCATTAAGAGTCGGGGCACATTTGTTACAACAATGTTTCGGCTGAAGTATTATTCCGAAAGCACGTTTTCCCGCAATTTTTCTTCCTGACTGAATTTAAGTTTGATAATATATTCACCTAGTTTTATAAAGGTAGCCGTGATGTCATATCCTATAAAATGGGAGTTATTTTTTATACAACAGTACACCGGTTTAATGTATATGGTTTGGCCGTATATAGCACAACTTGTTTGCGTGCGTTGCACGTATTTCGAACAGGACCCCAAAGGCTTCGTTGCGCTCAACAGGCAACGTGGTGGGAAGACGGAAGAGTACTTACATGTGCGCTCGCTGATTGTAATGCCCAGGATTTATAACGAGCACCGCAATGACAATCACAGCAGGGAACCCTATAAAAATACAAGAGTGAGGGGTCCTTTTTGCACATCTTTATTTCTTTTCGTCATACAACCGTATAATCATCTTACATAAACTGTAGATTAATATCGGAACACAGACAGTCTTTGGATTACAAGGGATATAATTCAACACAAAAACGCTTAACCAGGAGTAGTCCAAATGCGCGTGGGAAAGGAATGGACAACTACAGGCTAGAATCCTGATGCTGAGTAAGGAACTTAAAGAAAAAATAATGGCCTCAAAATTCCCATTTTCTAATGTTAAAATGCAAAAGTTCATAAGATATTCACCACAAAGGTTTTGGCGTCAACTAACCACAAGAAAAAAGGAGTTACCAAGGCGACAGCAGGAAATAGGGCAATTGAAAACAAGAAAGAAAATGCGAATTGTTTTAATAAATATTTTGTACACTGCTTTGTCAACTGATAATCATATTCTGCCGCAGTTCCTTATTTGAAAATGTTCCCCCAATGGATGATGCACAATACCAGAAAAAGGTATTTTCCCATTGCTACTTCCTAAAAATCCAAACAAAGCCGCGGGTCCGGAGAATATCCGCAACGAATTCTTAAGCTTTTACAGTGAATGGTGTGCGAAGTATCTCAGTCTCGTCTTCAAGAAATCGTTGGCAGATGGGTCTATCTCAGATGATCGGAAGATCATTAAAATTATACGTGTTCATAAAAGTGGAAACGCTAACTCAGTTACAAACCATAGACCCATTTTCTTAACATCTATCTGTTGTAAAATGCTAGAGCACGGCTTTTACAAACATATAAGAACGTTTTCAGATACTTATCGTGTATTTGATAGCAAGTAACACGGATTTCGAATGAGCTTACTTCAACCTAACGAAACAAATTCATGATTTTTCTTTGACCCTTGATAATAGAGGATAAGTCGACCTAATATTCTTAGACTTCCAGAAAGCCTTCGACAAGGTTTACCATAATAAGCTCCTCCTTGAGCTCGAACATTAGTTAAAAATTCCAAACTCCTGCAGTGGATCGAAGCGTTCTTGTCTCAGAGGAAACAGTTTGTTAGTATCGATGAACATGATTCAATGTTACAAGACGTTTCCTCGGGAGTCCCACAGGGCTCAGTTCTCGGTCCATTGTTATTTTTTATTTTTATTATGGATGTCCTTCTGGACATTACTCTAGAAGCAGGACTGTTCGATGATGATTTTTATTTTGTGTAATCATATAAACAATGACAGTCACCACATCAAGCTGAACGAAAATTTACGAAAAATTAGACAACGGTGTAAAAGCTGGCAGATGTCTTTATATGCAGAGAAGTAACAATAACTACCAATCTACGATGGGAGATGCACATCATTATTATAATTAAGCAAGCTACATGTAAACTCAGGGTGCTAAGAAAGCAATTAAAAGAGATTACTCAAGACGTTGCTAAAACTCCTTAATCTGTGTACAACCATTTACGACGAGGTAAGTTCATTGTACCAAGTTCCAACGGGACATTGGCAGATCACTGAGACCATCGAGTTCGATCTGGCTCGCGCGTTCGCTCATGATACTCTACTTTTTTGCCGTAATCATTAGTGCGGTCTCACGCACACGGAAACAAGATGCTGTTTGAGATACAGCATTCCTTCCCCCTTATGGTGAATGTCGGTCAACAGGTTTTTTGCGTCTTGTCGACCGTCGAAGAGCTGGGACGGCTTCATCTTCCGCTACGTCAAACTGCGCTTGTGACGCTGTCCTTTTTCCGCTTGGCCTTGGCGGCCACTCCGCTCCGGGCTTCGCTTCGGTGACGTTCGGTCCGCTTGGGGCCACTCCCTTGGCGACTCCGTCGATCACCGCCGCGGCGTTGCTCTGGCGAGTCTCGTCATCGGCCTTCGCTTTGGGCTTGCGCGATTTCGTCGACGAAGCATTATCACTGTCGTTAATGCAGTCATGGTCTACAATGGCCTTGCTGAGGTGAGCCTCCTCCGGAGGTGTCTTTCGGCCGCGTTTGGGATTCTTCTTTCCCTCCTTAAGATCCACCTGTCGTACGTGCACCTTGCGCAGCTTCTTTAGAAAGTAGTCCGCACGACTGTACAGGTGCATCGTCTGCGGCTTGAGCTGCTCCCCGTCCGGAAGGATCTTGTCCGTCAGGCCCAGGCCCGCGTCCATCTTGATCGCCTCCCAGCTGCCTATGACGTGCTCGTAGATGCTCATGAGCAAACTCGAGTCCTCCGCCACGCCCCACGACGTGTCAAAGTGGGGGTCCTTGATGGAGAGGTCAATCTTCCAATGGCGCATCTGGTCGGCCGCGTACGGCAGCACCGCGTCCAGCACCGCCAACTCCTGGTAGCTGCTGAGCACCGACTTAGCATTCACCGACACCCCGGACAGGTTGAAAGTCGTCCGCTGGTGCGGGCATCTGGCCGAGGTCCCGCTGGTGGTGCTGTCCCAGCGACGGCCCCGCCCGGTATCGGCGCGGTATGACTCTCCTTCATCACCTGCTCACTGCCGGAGTGGAGCAGGTGGGCCAGGCACTTCAGATCCGCCCGCGGATTCTCATGCAATTCCGGGTCTGGGGCTACCGTGTCAGCCTCTTGGCGGGAGCGGCGAATTTGCGGTAGCTCTTGATGAAGCGGCGGATCTCGGCGTCCGTGAAGCCCTTCGTGTTGCGAAAATTACATGGGGGCGGCCTCTCTTGCGGGGCCGTCACTCGTCGTCGGAGCCGTTGGACACACCCCCCGAGCTCCGCTCCCGCCTCCGCGACAGTCGGCCGCCGTCTTCGCTGTCCGAGTTCGCCGTCTAGTGCACGGACTTCCGGCTCCTCAGGGGCAGGTAGAGCTCAATCTCCTTGTCCTTGGCCCCATCCTTGGTCTTGTACTTGTCTTCGAACAGAGCCTCCCCTTTGCCTTGGCTGTTCGAGTTGGACACACTGAGAACAGGAGTCCCCAAGTTGTCCAGCGCTTGGATCAGGTCTCGGCCACACAAACACGATCCTGGCCGGCGAAGTGCAGTCATTGACGCTGTGACAGTCTTGTCGGCATAAGATACAGGGGGCGTTAAGCTTACCAGCATTATGCAGTGGCCCCAGATTACAAGACAACTCCACGATTGGCTCCTCGAGTATTGCCCGTCTCTCTCTGTGCTTGATGTAGATGTCCCAGGATATCACGCACACAGGTGATCCCGTGTCGATATTCATGAAGAGATTGATTCTTCCCCAACAGAACTTACGCCGTACTGGGCTGACATTTTTTACTCCTCGATAGGGTTATTTTCAGGGACAGCAGCTGCGACGAAAATGCTGTGTCGCCGTCTTCAGCGGAGTTTTCGGTCAGTGTGAACGCCCTCTGTTGTCGCTTGCCATAAGAGCGACACATTATTGCGATGTGTCACTTGTTTCCGCACTGAAAACACTTGTCATTCTTGAACGTGCAGGCCATCTTGCAGTGTTCCTTGCTGCCACACCGTTCGCATTCTAGCGATTGTCCACGTTCTATCTTGCTTTACAACCCTGGCGGTCCCGGTCGGTGCTTACCCGCCAGCTTGTACAATTCCGGCTCTTACTTCAGGTCTGAAGGCTTCATGAGCTTGAAAATTTACCTCGCGGCCTTCGTCGCCAGGACGATGCCGTTTCCTGCAATGTCAATTTGGTACTCGCAAGCAGTGCCTTCTGAACGTCGACATTTCGAATTTCACACACTATCTTGTCTCGTAGGATGCGGTCTAACATGCCGCCGACCTTGCATTTATCGGCCAGCTACCGAAGTTCCACGATAAACTGCTGAAATGACTCATCCTTGTTCTGAACCATCGCGAAAAATTTGAAGCTTTCAGCTATATTGTTCGGTCTCGGCGCGTAAAATTATTCGAGAATTTCAGTCGCTTGAGCGTAGATTACCTCTCGAACCTTCCTTGGCGCGCAACGCCCACTAATTACGTCGATAGTTCTTGAGTCGAGCAACGAAACGAGAAGCGCTCTGATCTTGGCATCTTTCACGATGCCGGTTCCCTCGAAGTAGGATTTCATGCGGATAATATATGAAGTCCAGTTATCTTTTGTGTGGTCTAAATGTGGTACTTGGTACGTCAGCGCGGAAGACTCGGAGTTGCATCCGTTGACTTCAGAGGCTGGTTCGGAACTCGTCGCCATTGCCAGACATTACTCGAGACGTTGCTGAATCACTTTAATCCATGTACAAAAATTTACAACGAGGTAAGTTCATTGTAGCAACGGGACATCGGCAGATTGCTGAAACCATTGCGTTCAATCTGGCTCGCGCGTCCAATCACGAGACTCTGCTTCTTTGTTGTGACCGTTAATGCCCCCCCCCCCTCCCCCCGCACGCGGAAATAAGACGCGGTCTGAGATGCAACACCCTAAAAACTAAACGGTTAGCTTTGAAAATGCTAATAAGATCAGGTTTAGCATATGCCACTAAAGTGTGGAACCCCTACACTGAGAAGTTAGTATTAAAACTCGTTAGGATTCAGAAACAGGCGTTAAATTTTATTTTCCCAAAGTATAGGAGGCGAGATCCGCCGACGGAACTGTTTTCCATGGCAGAAGTGAATTTACGGGAAGAAAAAAGGAGGGGGGGGGGAAAGCACTTGAAACTGCTTTACATGATTTTAAACGGTATATTTCTGATACATTGCAACTTCATCTGATAACGGGCTTCAAGTAGATTGCGTTTCCCATGATTTTCAAAAAGCATTCGACACAGTACCTCACGCGTTCATTATCTATAAACTAGCAACGTTAAACATTCCATCCAACATTCTTGCGTGGCTCAGCGAGTACCTATCTGATCGAAAGCAATCTGTTTTAATCAGCGGCAAAAGCTCGGGTAATGTTGGGGTTACGTCCGGAGTACCACAGGGGTCTGAATTGGGACCACTTTTATTTTTAATTTTTATCAATGATATCACTAACTCCATACAATCGAAAATACGACTATATGCTGATGACTGCGTACTTTATTCTGAAATTCATAACACGTCCGATTGCTTGACTTCGCAGAAAGATATCTGCCGTATCTCCGCCTGGTGTGAAAAATGGGGAATGATTTTGAACATAACCAAGTGTAATCATGTATGTTTCACGCGCAAGAGACATCCTGTCACCTTGAAATACGTTATCAGCGGAATTTTTTTTCCAACTGTTTCTGAATTCAAATACCTCGGTGTCTATTTTACAGAAAACCTTTCGTGGGCCAAACACGTGGACTACACATCCACAAAAGCGACCAGAATGCTCAACTTTATTAGACGTAACTTTAAAGATCGTCCTAAGTTTACCAAACGAACGCTGTACCTAACCTGTATTAGACCAATTTTAGAGTACGCCTGTGTCTGCTGGGACCCCCGCCAGGCCTACCTTGTCAACCAGCTAGAGGCAGTTCAAAATAAAGCAGCTCGTTTTATATCGGGTAATTATAACTTTGGATCAAGTGTGACTCAACTAAAAATAGAACTTGATTTAATTCCATTATTCCAGAGAAGGCGGTCTATGCGGCTAAAATTTTACTACAATATTTTTCATAGTTATCTCGGCATTGACAAATCTAAGTACATGCTGCCTGCCCACTACTCATCAGGAAGGCGTGATCACTCCAAAAAAGTGCGAGAGTATAAATGTAGAACGGATATGTTTAAATACTCCTTCTTTCCATGCACAACGAGCACCTGGAATTCGCTGCCAGAGGAAATAATTTCTACAACTTCTGCCACTTCTTTCTTTAACCATGTGTTAAGTGATGCTTCATAAACCTAAAAACAATTGATATTATTATCTCATGTTCGGCCTCGCGCTTTTTGTACCTTTTTGTACTTTTTTTACTTTTTGTACGTTTGTACTTTTTCTCAAATGTATGTGTACGCCTCCCTCGCAATAATGCCTTTGTAAGGCGATGCGAGGTATTCTGAATAAATACAGGAAGATAGAGTAATGCGGCCCTACACTTGTAGGAGGACGCGAAATAAATATACTAGAAAACTTGAAGAATATTGTTACTCCAAAAATTCTTTAAAAATGCATATTTTATTTTAACAATAATGGAGTGGAATGCGCTGCCAGAAAGCACTCTGTCAGCCAGCACAGTTCATGAATTTATAAGGCATTTGATAAAGTGATTCTATGTCTCCGAAACTGTTGCTCACAGTACTTTGTGCTCGTATCACGTGTTCGTTTTCTGCTTCATATATAAATATTCAATGTGCTACTAATGCTTCAGTTGTGACCCATGTCTTTTGAGCGTTTTATTCATGTTCACTCTTTTTTTGCTCACCCCTATCATGGTCCCTGTTGCGGGGAACGATAGTATTGTCAAATAAAATAAAATTAGGGAAGTCCCGCAATAACATAACCAAGAAGAAAACAAATCTCCGAACGCCTACAATCTTAAAGAAGGTGAGCATTGAGCGCCTACTTGCCGCGAACACGTTAACTAGAGCCATGGGGCTGTGGCCCAAATAGTCTATAAAACTGAAAAATGAATATTTTTTTAAATCAATTGAATCAAATTGTTTTACTTAAATTATATATATATATTTTTTAATCTAAAGCAAATGAATTTAATTTAGATAGCTGAAGCCAGAAAAGTATCTTCATGACTTCATGTATTGAACATGACAAACCTATTGATCAATCCGTTCGATCGTTGAAAACAGTACTTAAGAGTTAGTTAGTGTAACCTGAGCTACAGTTTAATTAGCAACTTCTCATTGATGTAAACCCAGCCATACTAAAAAAAACTTGATTTTCTAGCCAGTTAAGATGCTTCGTTCATTAGCTTTTGTATTTCAAGTTCTGATTTGCTTGCAATAGGATGTTACGTTACCGACGAAAAAAGTGTAAGGCAGAAAGAAAGCTCAGTGATCCCATTCGCTTAGAAACGCGCTGTTTTTTGTTTTGTTTTTTGCTCGTGTTCAGCCTGATATAAATCTTTCTTGTTCAATCACACTTTGATTTATACACCCAACAAATGCACGTCGAAAGCATCCAATAATGAACAAAGAATAAATAAAACATTTCGGAATTTATTTTACAGAAAATATTTGATTAAAATTATAATAGCAAATTTGGTTCGAATGAAATCACAGCTTAAATCATCTTGATTTTTATTCTCCACCCTGGTCTGTAGTCACGGGCGGCCTATTGAAAACATGACGTGGCTTATTATGTTTATTCTTCTCGCTTCGCAATTCGTTCATCCACCTTTATTCGTATCGGGTAATGCGGCAACGCTATTTGCTGCGGAACAATAATAAGCTACTCGGCACTAGCCACGTTCGGAGTGTCTTAACGTGTTGGTGATCATGGCAACTCCTCGTGCTTAAGTGGCAGCTTTTGATTACCATCGTGCTGTGGCTTGTGTCGCTCTTGGCTTCCTATGTACGGCATGTCAGGCTATTGACTAGCTAAATTTGTTAAACAATTTAGTTTTCTTGATCGCAAGGACTGCTGGAGGTCATTTTGATTACCGTCCCAGATATCTGATTCAAGTGTACTAGCTAAACTGAAAATTCGGAACGTTTGGCGATGAGTGCTTGATCATTATTTCGCAAGAAATCTCAAGTCAACTCGTGTTCTAACTCCACCGCGGCCGATAACAATAGTCCCAGTTAATTATTTCTTTATTTCAATCACACTTTCTTCGAGTATATTTGGCGTAAAAATTACTATTTTAAAATTACTCGAAATTTTCTTTACTTAAGGAGCTCAATGAAAAACACTGATTTCAATTAGGGTGATTCAACGAAAAGGCGCAGGAATTTGTTAAAGAAACGGGCTGTTTGAAGGTGCCCAGCTCTGGGCGGACTATTTTGCAATAACGTTTAGTTGGTTCTATAACTCTCTAGTTTTTGTCTTGGTGTGCTAAAATTTTTTTAGTTCTCTTGAGTTGTGTATTTCGTATAAACGCAAAAATGTGTTATGTGTTAATTGTATTTGTGTACAAAGTAAGCGGTCGCCATTATTTTATATAAATCAACACATCCGTTTTTTTGCACGTCTGCCAGATAGTAATTTGAGAAAACAATATAACGAGCTTTACTTCATGGCTTTGTGACGTCACTTAGCAGGTTGAAATAATTCCAAGACAAAAATTCCTGACTGCCTCGCAGGACTCGTTCAGTAACACTTCTCTTCAGTGTCCTTCAGTGACACAAAGATTCTTACTCTTAGAATAATAACTTTGGCAGTGTAAATGTAAATCTTATATCTAATTTGAATCACCTTCTGCGCAATGCAGCAGTGGAACAGGGGTAAAGCGTAATACAACACAGTATTTCTTCTCCAGGATGGGATTGTGAATACTCACAAGGGTATACACAACATTAGTGCTACACTTATTCATACGCCTGTCATTTAGCGTGAACACAACATACACATACTCACCCCAGGCTGCAAGGGCCGCCTTCAGCACCAGGTTAGGAACGTACGTCCCCAGAACCTTGACGAAGCGGAGGTACTGCAGCAGTGCCTCCACGAACGTCCAGCAGAAGCTGACCAGGAGCAGATAGTGGAGCAGTCCCCCGATGCATGCGCACAGCGCGGGCCCCGTTCGAGGCACAGGTACCGTCACCAAGGCCAAGTACGCTCCCAGAGCCCCCAGCAGGGCCACCGACAGGTGCATAAGGATTTGGTGACCAACTCCTTTGCGCCACCGCCTTGAATAAAAAACGAAAGACGGCAACCTCGATCATCAAGATCCTACAAAATATTGAATGGAGTATATAAGGAGCCACTGTGTAAATTTGTTTAAAATACATTGAATAATAGTTTAGGGCAGTGAACGCCCGAAACTATTGTTCATTAATTCCCCCTCAACATGTAGCAGAGAAGCTAATACCGCCACGGTATCACGCGACACCGGGACTGAACACGTTGACATTAGGTGACGTCACGGTGTCATGCGATAACATGACATCAAACAATGCGGTCACGAGGCGTGATGTCAAGGTATCGAGTCGAGGTGTCACGTAGTGCTATCACTTCACTTGACGTCAATTTGTCTCTTAATATTTTCCGCGAAATACACTGACGGATCGATTGGCCGAGGATCGGTCTAACTAATTCCTGTTAGTAGGGGGTTCAGTTATAAATCCTTCTATGCTTTAAAAACGGTTGTAGACGTTTCAGTTTCTTTCAAAGAAAGTCAAACATTACTTCACTTATCAGCTAACTGCTTAAAAGAAAAAAAATGTTTCATTCAATCATGACAGAATCAAAGAAATTGTATTATTATTTATTGAATTTATTCGCTTATTAGTTCAAATACCTACTGCGCCATAGGGCGTTACAATAGGGGAAATTATTTGGGACTGAGAGAAGTAATAGTATGCAACAATGAATTATAATAGTTACAAAAGCATAAAACATGTTTACTACTTATACACCTAATAGAACAATTAGCATGTCGTTAAGAAAACGATATACAAAAAAAGCTTGAAACACCATGACGTAAGTGCTAAATAAAAAACATCGTTAAACACAATGCTTGCTACACAAACTGGCAGTTTGTTCCAATCCCGTGTGGTTTTATGAAAAAAATGAGTTCCCCAAAACATCACTTCTGGAACGAAATTGTTTTACCTTATTAAGAAGGTCCCTTCGTTGCGATATAAATAATAAAATTGGTGAAAATAGCACGGTCTTTTAACATCAGGCTTATAGGGAAATACGTTATGAAACAATCTTAGTCGGAGGCCTTTCTTTCTAAAGCTGGACTCCCTCCATCCTAGGCTTTCTTTAGCTCTTGTCCCTCTAAATGGCCTGTTCTAATCGTCTAAAACGAAACGGGCATCCCGATTTTGCAGCTTTTCAAGCTTGACTGCAGGAAGAACAGTCTCGGTGTCCCATTGAGTGCAAACACATTCCAAAAGCGAGCGAACATGCGAGAAATAAAGTTTTTCTTGTAGAAAAAGCGGTAAGGACTTAAAAAAATCGGGACCAAAATCATTCGTGAGGCTTTAGGAACAGTAAGATCGACGTGTTTTGTTGCAAACTAGATTTCAAGTGAGAAATACACCAACTATTTGTACCCGTGGATGCTAATCAGTAATTAACCATTAATGGTGTAAGACTTGTTGAATGAAACACGTCCTTCTGTAAATGGGACTTGGACAGTCTTTATAAGATTCACATTAATTTCCCACAGTTCGCACCAATCTGTAATAACATTAATATACGCCTGAGGAATGTTGACGCCATCAAAAGTTGCATTTTTCCTATATAAACAACGCAATCGTTCGCAAAAAGACGCAAACTAAAATGTCAAAACATCGACAATATCGTTCAACAAAGAAAAAAAAAAGACTTATAGTCCGTTGCAACCTAAGAACGAAGGGCGAGGGTAAGACGGGCCGGGGAGGAGAAAGCGGACGGAACGCTGGAGAAGAGAGGGGGAAACCTCCTTCTCTCTTTAGCGTTCCGTCTGCTTCCTCCTCCCCGGCCCGTCTTACCCTCGCCCTTCGTTCTTAGGTTGCAGCGGACTATAAGAAGAGATCCTCGCGGAACTCCCTATGTCGCGTCAGCACATTCAGGCGCACAATTATTGAGCTCGGCGTACTGTTTGCGGTGTGACAGATATGTATGCAATGCACGATGTTACTGCAAGTCTTATAATAATGAAGTTTTGCTATTAACAAATTGTGTGGGACAACATCAAACGCCTTATTAAAATCTAGGACAATACAGGGCAACGATGCAGTGAACTGAAATTGTGTACGATTTCAGTTTTCTGCATCGCAGTCAATACCCTTGACGAAAACTATGTTGGAATGAATACAGTTTTCCAAGACCACTTACTCGGTTGATTATGGTCGTGTATAAAATGTGCTTACCACGTTGCATGCTAATGTAAGTTCATAGCCATGACATGCTCTTATGTTAATAAAATTGGACGATAATTCTAGGGACGAAGCTCCTTAGGGTCTAGCCTTGTCCGGCGTCCGTGCTCACATCGATTGCCATCACATCTGTCTTCTTAAAAAAAGAAAAAAAATGTTTGCGCAGTCGACAGGATTCGAACCTGTGCGGAGAGACCCTAATGGATTTCGAGTCCATCGCCTTAACTACTCGGCCACGACTGCGGGACGAGTAGGGGACTCTGAGATGTGGTAGTAACTCAAGAGCTGGGGTTTCTGTCATGAATGAAACGTTGCATGTAGCCGCTCAACGTCTATACAGGAGAGGGCGCTACGGTCAAATGCGTATATAATCGCGTTAAACTTTGCATGCGTTCGTTCAACGTTTATAGACGATAGGGCGCTGCGCTCAAATGCTCAAATGCGTATATAACCACGATCCATACCACACATTCTCTTTCTGACATGGACCGTTGACTTAAGCGGTGGAGATGCGTTCCCACGGCTTCTAGCGGATCCAAGATGATCCGCTAAAAGAACCACTGGCTCTGCATTTCACCGACCATAAAGCAGTAATAATGAAGTCGAAACGCAACCCAGAACTCAGCACTACATATGAGCAATAAAATCAGTATCATCAGCACCACCAGAGCTTCGTCCCAATCAACATCATCCACCAGGTGGAGATGCGGTCATTTTTTTCGCCACGTTCCTGCGACCAGATTTGTGCATCGGGACAAGCCGACAAAGCCTCCAATGTAACTGTAACTCGGCAAATTTTAAGCCGCGCGTAAAAATATAAACAGGTCATACCACAGCCTATTTTTAAAATACAGGGAGGATAGTATCTTCGGGACGAGTTTCTTTGCTTGCATCCAGTTTATTTAAAAGCTTCCTGATTGCTTCTACTTCTGAAGTGATCGAGGGCATCGCATCTGCCACTATTAAAACGTCGAACACAAAGTCCCATGGTGCAGACGGATTTAACGCGGAATGCAAATAAGTATTTAATAGTTCGTCTTCATCCATAGTATTTTTAAATATACTATTACCATATGATTAAATGGTGGGGCAGAGCTAATATTTTTAGCGTTTTTGTGCACATATTTACAGAATACTTTTATGTTCTTCTTAAACGTTTCAAAATATAGGTGTTCGGCCGCTTGAATCGGTCGTGACGAATGCAGTAAGTTCGCTTAGCTTTGTAGTATCTGTTGTAAGTGGGGTGCTACGGTACATTAGGTGTCCCCTACGTTTCTTTTGAATAAGGCTTCGCAAATGCCGAAATGTCCAAGGCGTGTCCGAGCGCGCTCAAGATTAAGCGTAGGGGAAGGAACGAAACGTTTGGTCAATTCATCAGTTTTCGTCTTAAAGATAGTCCAGAGTTCCTTGATACTTAGACCTTCGTCCAACGTCTCAAAGGTCAGAAAAGTCAAGTCTAGGGAACATGTCCTACTATTGTGATCTCCTCCGTTATATAAAATCACCTTACACGCTTTTGCCTCACCGACGTAGGTAATCGGAATATAAGAATCTGCCACAGCTACTTTATGGTCGCTGATGCCAAGAATATTGTGGATGTTCTAAACAATGACCGGCGTGTTCGATAAAAACAAATCTAAAATCTGAGAACTTCCATCGTTTTGCATTCGGTCAAAAACATATTGTTCAAAAGCGTAAAAGTCTACAAGACTAAATATACACAGTGTAAACTTCTCCTACGCCAGTTGCGTAATAATTTGCATTCCATGCAAATGCCGGCAAGCTAAAGTCACCTCCAATATTTATTTTAGCACAACTAAAAGTAAAAATGGTTGCAGACGAGGACGTTATTACACTTGGCTGAGTTACTGACGGTGTTTAAAAAGCACCGACGGCCAGCCGTTTATCATTTTAAAACGAAGTTTTCTTTAAACACTTTGAAAACTTTCTGTTTTTAATCTGCATTTTTTGAAATTATACCTTTATGGGCACGAATAAAAACAACTCCTCTATGGGAACTACTATATTTTCTAAGAGGTGTGATCGAAATGTTCAGAAAGTCATTTTGCAACGTAAAAAGAGAAGGCATCCCAGTGATGCACGCTAAGCAGTCGAAGGCAGGGACCTTCCTGCGCGATTATGCCAAAGGGCGTCGGTCTGTCGATATTTGGAACCGCGATACACGAGTTTGTTTGACCACATGCACGAGGATAGTGGACTCCCCGTAGACTTGAAGCCAAATCGAGAGCGAACATCAATTTAACGTCAAACTCGGCAAATGTAAAAAAAAAAAACAAAAAAACCTCTGAAATGATTTAGAAGGCTTATGTAAAAAGGTGAGCCTCAAGGATGGCAGAACGTCACTGAAGTCAAGAAGAGGTAGGATAAGGTCGGCCTACTGCTCTTCGTCTTCCAGCGATGTTCTGCCGTCCCAAAGCGCAAGTGCAATTTAAAAGACTTCGCGCAATTCACTGCTTTTTGACACAAGCTTGCTGAATCATTTCAGAGGTCTGTGTTTTATATTTATCAAGTTCGGCGCAGAATTGATGTTCGCTCTCGCTCTGGTTTGAAGTTTATGTTGAAATCGCCATAATGGCCCGTGCTTGTGGTCACAGAAACTCGTGTAGCGCAGGTCCAAGTATTCACAGAGCGACGATCTTTTGTATAACAAGACACAAAGGTCCCTTCCTTCGACTGCTGCGCGCGCATGACTGTGCGGCCCTTTCTTTTTGCCCTACAAATCAGTCTCTGAAAGTTTTGATCACACCTCGTATAGCATGAGTAGTTATAACGTAAGAATTCATGATCAAGGATTTTGCCGTCCACTCAAATACAACTGACTCTAAGGTTCTACCGCTGTCAATCCAAAATAAACAAAAGAACATATAAAATATATGCAGTTAAAAAAGGGTAATCCGATTATGCTCTTTTAAAACGAACTTCAGAGAGCTGCCTTCTACGTAATAAGGTAAGGTAGGACACAAAATATCGCGCGTATTTTTTAAATTAAGGTCGTGAAGGTTGGCGCCACCTTCACCCCCACCCTCATAAAAAAGGGCACAAAAACAACGTTCCACCTAATGTGCAAGCCCCCCCCCCCCCCCCTCCCTGCGCGTGAAGCTTTTAGCAAGGTGTTTTTTTTATCTAAGCCAAGAATCTAATTTTTTGTTTTGATTTTACAATGTTATTAAATAACACACCTTCTCTAGAAAAAAATCAAATTGCATTTTAGCCATACACTACTCGACGAATCAGCTCGCTACCCCGGCTCTTTTCCTACCCATTTTGGCATGAGCTGATAGGCGATGCTGGAGCTGCCTTTGGTTTGAAGACCTTTTACTTTAAGAGGCCTATGTTGCAGTGGTGAACTACTTCTATAGTAGAGATATGCTAGGCCTCAGTCAGTTTTGTTGGAAAAAATATTACATTGACTATTCAACAAATATACGAAATAACCGGCTTCGACATGCAAGTAGATAGATCATGGTCAATAACTTACTTGTGACAAATATAGGTGAAAACCACCATGAGAAGACCGAGAGCTGACAGGGCAATGCCGATGAACGTAAGGTAGCTGAGAATGTGATCATGTGGACTTGTCCGGCTCCTGTCGTTATGCCTCTGAAAGAAATCGATAAATAGAAACTGTTTCCACGGTGGCCATACGGACATTTCTATAATGAGAGGTGTGCACGCTTTCTGAAGTATGACAACAAATATTGAAAGTCTTTCGCTCGAATAACAAGTTGACGTTTCTTTTGATCAATACCCAGGTGCAAAATAAAGCCGTAGTTCCGGTTATCAAAAACGAACACACATGTTTTGTCCTTGTTAAAGCGAAGGTACTTGCGTGAATGTTGACCCGGGGCACGCTTCACTGGCTAGTTATTTTTATTTGTATAACTTTTTGGGGGTTGTCCCCGAACAGTATGAGGCCTACTAAAATATATTAGAATACTTATATATATACAAATATATATATATATATATATATATATATATACGGAAGAAAACGCACCTGAGACGGTTGTTGGAGTTTTTAAAACGTATTATTGGTAAAGTTGGTCGACGTTTCGGCCTGAGACAGACCTTTTTCAAGACTGGCACATGAGAGGTCACATTGACGCTCCTTGACCACGTCACGTGGCATTCCAAACATCTGGTTTCTCTCAAGAGTTGACGACTCACTTTCTCAAAGAAATTTCTAAAATTCAAATACCCAAGGATGCTTTTCTGGTGACAATGGATGTAACTGCTCTGTACACCAATATTCCCCATAAAGACGGCATAGAGGCGCTTGTGAGGGCATATCTGGTTCTTGACTTAAACAGTTTTGAATTCGACGGCAAATTTTTTCTTCAAACTAGAGGGACCACAATGGGCACGAAAATGGCCCCGAACTTTGCAAATATATTTATGGGCGACCTCGAATCAACTTTTCTCGCATTTTGTCCGCTCCAACCGATGTTTTACAGGATATATATTGATGACGTATTTTTTATCTGGTCACACTCAGAAAATGAGCTTCTCAAGTTCATCGCAGATTTTAACTCCGCGCACCCTTCCATTCGCTTCACACACAGTTACTCGAAAACTGACATTAATTTCTTAGACGTTAGAGTAATAATTAAGGACACAACTCTGGTCACTCAACTGTATCGAAAGCCCACGGACAGCCAGAGATATTTGCACTTCGACAGTTGCTATCCTCGACCTTGCCGAACCAGTATTCCGTACAGCCAGGCTCACAGGTTTAAACGTGTATGTTCTAATAACGATGATTTTGACTCCAACGCCAATCAACTACGCGAGGTTAAAAAAAAACAGAAGTACCCAGAAAAAATCATAAATGACGCAATTAGTAAGGCGCGCGCCCTCGATCGCGACCTCTTGTTAGGTGACAGCGGTCCCCAGGCGGAGACAAGCCGACAGGCCAGCCTCGTGCTGACCTTCAGCAATAAGTCTCCGAATGCCACCGCCATATTAAAGAAACATTTTAATATTTTGCAACAAAGTGAACGCAACGCAAAAGTTATTACTACCGTCCCACGTGTGGTGTACAGACGCTCGCGGAACATTAAGGATTCCTTAGTCAGGTCCAAGATAACTGCCACTGAGAGCACTGGGAGTCGGCCATGCGGAAAGTCGGGATGGGGGGTCTGCCCACACGTAACACCGAGAAACTCTATAGAGAGTACAAACTCCAACTTCACCTACAAAATTTATGGCAACTTAAATTGCGACACCAGTAATGTAGTATACCTTTTACAGTGTAGCACTTGCGGCGCGCAGTACGTGGGCCAGACAGAGACACCTTTCCGATTGCGGTTTAATAATCACAGATCACATGCAAAATCAAACCCCACACTTCCCGTTTCAAAGCATGTTAGCGAACCAAAACACTCATTTGATGAGCTTCAAGTCACATTTTTACAGTCTGGTTTCAAAAGCAACCGAGATCGCGAACAGAAAGAATCTTACCTTATTCACAAGTTCAAAGCCGCGATCAATAAACATCCCGGCATTATGTCTTCCATTCACGCGGTTAACATTCACGATCCTCCTGTATCAGCGTGAGCGTATACATTCCAAAGACTTTAGGCCATCCACAATTTATTTCATATAGAGTTAGTTCTAATAGTATTGTTGACTGAACAGTTGCGAGCAGAGAGAATCGTATCTTATTTACAAACTTAATTCAATCCGGGCAGGTATTAATAAAGATCCCGGCATAATGTCATCTATGCATGCAATCTACCTTAATGAACACCCTGGAATAATGACGTCCATGCACGCAGTTAACACATCTTGAGCAGTCATCTGCTCAAGATGTGTCTAAAAATCCACAACCTCCCCTCGTTGAAGTTTATTATGCGAGAAAAGGGATATGTATGCGTGTGTGTGTTGTTTTTTTACGCACTGAGGAGGCGGCTCGCAGACCGCTCGTGCACCGTGACAGGGTGCGAGTTCTTTCACCAGGGTCAGGTTTACGCGCGGGGGGGAGGGGGGGGGGGACGCCTGCGTCGGGGGGTACCGTCAACTCTTGAGAGAAACCAGATGTTTGAAATGCCACGTGACGTGGTCAAGGAGCGTCAATGTGACCTCTCATGTGCCAGTCTTGAAAAAGGTCTGTCTCAGGCCGAAACGTCGACCAACTTTACCAATAATATGTTTTAAAAACTCCAACAACCGTCTCAGGTGTGTTTTCTTCCGTATATACTTTTCGTCATCCTGCGCTTCGTTTCTCTCTCTCTATCTCTCTCTCTCTCTCTCTCTCTCTCTCTCTCTCTATATATATATATATATATATATATATATATATATATATATATATATATATATATATATATATATATATATATATATATATATATATATATATATATAACAGTAAGATGTCCTAAACGGCGCACTTTAAGAAAGTATTTACTACACTCGTTGACATCCTTCAGTGTCAGTGAGACCAAAGCCTCAGGTGTCTGTATATCCGGAATTCTTGAGCGCCGATAGAGTTACCATAATATTTTAGTTTGTTAGATAGTACCGAAAAATATTCTCACGCAGTGTTCTTTACATACAGTGTGGTTCTACCACAATATATTCACGCTTCAAGTCAAAACGAACAGACTTCAATTCTGCATTTTCCGCGGAAAAATGCAATCACTAGTAGCACCGCTTTTTTTTTTTATCTCAGAATTACATAAAATGTTTCCAAGTTCGCCTCTGCAGTATAAAAAGAAATAAAAAGTAAACTTATTATTCATAAAACTTTATAATATATGCAACGGCTACCAAGCATCGTCAAATATAAACTCAAAGGGAGAAAAAAAGGATGACTCACGAATAGCACAGCAAAACTTGTCAGATGGGAACAGTTGCAGACATGATATTCCCGTTCTAATCCGATGTATTCGCACCCAGCGGTAGACCATGCACCAAGGTCATGGTTTTCGCTCGGATCCCAGAACACGCACTCAACTTCCACCGGCATTACATCCTGGAATTCAAAGCGAGGATTCAAGAACCCATCTGGTCGTTTATGAGGAATGAAACTGTACTAACATGAAAAAAGGAACCCCACGGAAGCCTCTCACTGGCAACTGTCGCTTTGAAAACAAACATAGCTTCTTCTGATGTAAAATGCCAGCTGTCAGTCGGAGGAGTCAAATAAATATTTATCGTCTTTCGTTCCTCTCCTGCTGAAGCCAATCACTGTTTTTTCTACATGTTCAAAATATTAAAATTTAAATAACTTTTAAATGAGAAATACTACGTCTTTAACTCACGGTATTTCTTTTTAAGTAGGGACGCGTTTGGAACTATCCAGAGGACAACGGGTTGACAAGATATTCGACAACAGTATTTAAAATGTTTTAATTAATACCATCCTAAAAAGATATTTGTAGTAACAGGTTAGCTTGCTGTGCTGGTTGGTTGAAGGAATAGTGAAAAACAACGCAACAAAGACGGGACACAAGGTAGAAGACGGACACAGAACATGAAGAACATACATATTTGGAGTACTGCTCATGTTGTTTTCTCTGAAGAATATTGTTACGTTTTTAATTTACAAGAGGACGTCCATAACCAAATTAGGCCAGATTAGAAGTGTGTCACGCGCCGTCTGCACGCGCTTCGTCGTCGTCTTCGGTGGTTCCCGGCACGCGCCTTAGCACGCCGCTACACTATTCCCACTAAGGACTTGTTTTCTTGAAGAGATGATCTTTGGATCGTTTTCCTGCTACACAACCTCGCCCCATTGCTGTGGTGTTAGATAGTTTGCTTGAACTTGTTTGTTTCGAAAAGTTTATCTTGAGTGAAGTCCTTTCAGCATGCAGATTCTTGACATGAAACTTCGTGCTCATTTGCACACACTCTAAAGTTCAGGCCGACCTCACAGTCCGCCTGCAGCACCAAAGTCCAGCACGTTAGCGCTTTTGGAAGATTGATGCGAAGAGTCCTGATACCAGGGGGTCAAGTCGTTCACTTATTGTCGCCCCTGGCGACATGTCAGAGAACAAATCTTATGCCGGCACAGAAGATGTCGGTGCCTAAGTTCACAGCGCATTTGCGCCTTTTGAAAAGTTAACACCGACAACGATATGCATCGGCATTGCCTAATACAGGAGACACCATGATATTTCGTGAATGCTTTCAACCGCAAAACTGCCACAACCTGTCCGAAAACCATTGAAGCCTAGCGCGCACTCACGCGCTTTTGTGGCGTGGGTGCGCCACAAAAGCGCGCCCACGCCACTCTGTTCAATATCTTGAACGGAGTACTACTTAGATATGTTATTAAATTACTCGAACATTGCATAATTTGTGGGTGCGCCACAAAAGCGCGCCCACGTAGTACTCTGTTCAATATCTTGAACAGAGTACTACTTAGGTATGTTATTAAATTACTCGAACATTGCATAATTTGTATCGACTTCAGGGACACTAGAATGCTTTATTTGCAAGTAAAAGCAGCAGACAACACAATATCGCAGGGCTATTCTATGCATTTCAGCCCCAGTACGAAGAGTAGCTTCGGTGGTGCAGGTTACACTATTATATTTTTAAGACAAGTGAGCAAAATGACTTCACTTTGTAGTAACATCGCTGACAATCACATTCTGGTGGATTTAAGATGCGCATCTTGGACGCAACATTTTACTAAGTGCCGTAGTCGCGAGCGCTCACGTATTCTAGGCATGAAACTTGCCGCGCCTTCTTCAAGTAGGGTACCCCGAACGCAGCACTCACGCATGACCAAACTTCAAAAAGAAAGGCGCACGCGGACACGGTGAAAAACGTCTGTGTTTTTCGAATATTTTTTTTAATTTGTTTTCCCATCCTAAGTAGAAGTTTTTTTAGAACGTTGTACAGCTTTTTCATCATTTTGAGAGTTCATCCTGCTGGTAACCTGTTTCCTGCCTTGTTGGAATTTCTGTCCCCATGAAAAGGTTATGCCGTCGCGGTTCTTATTGTAGCACTTTCAAACACAAAGAAAAAAGTTTTTTTCCTTATTGATTGTTATTTATTTTTTCGTGACATTTTTAGTTATCAAATTTAGTTCTGGTTTGCTTTCTCTTTAGTCTTCGGTCGTTTCCACTACAAGTTAGCAATGTATTCAGCTATGCGCTAAGGCGTACCGACTAATATTTTCGTTAAACATTTCCGCGACAAATGTTTTCAAAAAGAAAATCATGTATTTAGGATAATGAGTACAAGATACCGAGGAATGTAATTAAGATATAATATCAAATACTCTCGATCAACTGTATTTGCAAGATAGCGAATTAGTACCAAAAGTAATTGAAATGCAGTATCTTGAATAAAGTATTTGATATAAACGCACGCCTGGAGGAGAGTAATATGATTTGTAGCGCAATATTGGCGCAATTTTATTAGACTTAAAAATTGACTTCCAATCATTATTTCGTATAGCAGGAAAAGCACGAATGTCATGCCTTTACCCATAGAATAGAAGATGCTTCCAAAAGCTATCTTTTGTAAAATTCACAATTTTTCATTTACTGAAACGAAAAAAAAAAAACTTTGATAATACTTTTGGTTTGTTTAATTTAGTTGCGATAAGAAATACAACGGTGTTAAACGACAAAAGCCGAAGCGCACTTTTTTTTTCCTCTAACGCAATAACGCATTAATACACTAACCGAATCAAGATGGTCAACTATAATCTTACGCAGGACTGCTTGAAGTATATGCTGAAGGGCTCCCGAACATTATCGACTTCCTCGTTTTCATAATTAGCCAGCAGGACAGAGCTGCAGATCTCAAAAACCAGTTCAGAAGACTCGTCGTCCGTCGGTTGGAAGGAATCTTCGAAGAGTGAGCTCGCTCCCATGACCCCTATGTTCAGCTCGCGGTCCAAATGCAACTGGTTGCTCTTGGAGAAAACAAAGGCCACGTCTGTTCCCTGTCAGGACAAGAAATCAAATAGTAACTATGTGGAACAAACACTGCACTTTCTCATCATAAAAGATATCGGGTTGAGAGTCACCGGCCGTTTAATGGGCATAAGGTCATTGTGTTCACGCTTCTTGCCTTGTGATTGGTTCTTCGGCGCTTGTATTGGCAAATGCCACAACCTGATTGACCGCAGAGCGATTATAACATGTTAGGAGTCACTCCACGCCGTGCCTTTTTAAGCTGTCATTGATTATGCGGAGCGAAAGTTCGTCTGCTTCTTGAACAGGGGCTGCTGTGACGTCAGAACGCCGAGCTCTCGTCCGGTCTCTGCCGCTCCACCTTTTACATTTCGGCGGCCGCTTCTGGTGGCGATCTGCCAGGCTTTGTCAGTATATAGGAGGCTATGTTCGAACCTTCGACGGCGCTTCGTCGTCTCGTGCACCTGGAGCGCGCGAGCGCACTGTCAAGGACGACGAAAGGCATGCAGCGCGTGCTGCAGGTCTGGCGTTTGAAAGATGCGCCCTGTTGTTCTCAGTCTATACGGGTGACTGAAATGTTTCTCTAAGGCTCTTTAAACGACTGCAAACGTACGCGCTACTCCACGGTGTGCCGGAACGTGTTGGACCGAAATGAAAAGGTTCACTCGTCAATAACAAAAAACAAAAAAAAAAAAAAAAAAAACGATGTGGTTTTAGAGAAACTAACAAATGTGACATAGTAAGAAACCGAGGCGGCCGGAACACGTAATCGCGAAATATATCTTGGGGTGCGACAGATTCTTATTCTTACTCAAATCATTAAAACAAATGCGAGCAATGAGAAAGTGTACAAACTAACAAAACTCCGTTTCTGCTTACGGCAGACTGCAAAGGGCGTTACGATCCATCGAAGAAAATCCTATGCCATGTAAGGGTCACGTGAGCTTCGGGATGGTTCCAGCGAAGCGGAGGTGGCGTGGTCACGTGACCCCTTCAAAGCTCTAGATGGGCTCGCAAAGTCTTCTATCGTAAGGTAAAAGAAAATGTTAAAAAAAAACAATAAAAAATGGGAATAAAAATGAAAAAGCAGAGGAGGGGTTGGTCACGTAATACACCGAATTTCACCGCACTATCGCGTTAATGCGGAGATAAATTTCGTCTGCTTTTTGCGTAGTGGTTGTGGTGACGTCAGACCGCCGAGCTCTGATTGGTTCTCGTTGGAAGGACAGTGAGTAGACCTAAATGCTAGCCGCCTCGAGGTCTACCCACTATCATTTCAATCGGAGCCAATCGGAACTCGGCGTTCTGACGTCAACGCAACCCCTGCGTACGAAGCAGACGAAATTTCTCTCCGCATAGATTGTTTTAGAAGATCGCTCACATATCTCCGATAGCGATACTGATGACGATGCGATGTTTACGTAAACGTGTAATCGGAGTATCGGGTATCGTTATTGGAGTTATCGGAACGATCTATTAAAACTCTCCGATTTAAAAGTCGTGACCCTTCGTTTGTTCAATGTTCTTGCCTGGGTAAGATTCCGAGTGTCCACAAAGTTGTATCTTTGTTCCAAATCCAAATGGATGGCGACGCCCAAAGTTGACTCTTGAAATTTGGAGATCTTCCCAAGTGCGACAGACCGTTGAAACACGACTGTGTCGCTGTCCAAGCGACGGGACACCTGTTCCATGGCACCTAAAATTCTGAGAAATAAGCATAAAATGTATGTTAACACTGGCAATTGTTTCCTTGGTTTAGCGCCACTTATTCACGCGGAAACGTAGCACAAACGCGAGGCAACACACGATGCATTCTTTGGTACAAGCACCTTTGACACTCTAATGAGAAATAAAAAGTGCAAACTTAAAAAAAAAAAAAAAATTTTGAGGCTTGCAGAGGCTGTCGTCTCCGGCCTTATATTGACTTATATTTTCTGTTGCCAAATTATTCATAATGCTCCGCATATTACAATGAATACCTGACAGTGAAAAATAAATTAGACGTTTATCGCTGCTTAAAGAAAACATTGTTTCGTAAAATCATGAGACCTTAATTGCTTTGATTATGGCTTGTTACCTTCAGTGCCGGAAACTAGACGCAAGATAATTTAAGCACAATTTAAATGTTCTAGACAATGTAACCCGTAATGCAGAAGTTTTCAAAGAAATTGACACACATCTTCGCATTTGGTTTTTGTTTTCTCGCTGATTTAAACGAGTGTGATGGAAAGGCGGAGAGTTAATAAAGTAGACTACAACTACAAATCTTTGAAAAGATGCCGGATTAAAGCAACTTCATATATATATATATATATATATATATATATATCTTTATATTCTCAATTGTACTGAGTAGGTGCTAAAGAATCCGACCGGTTTGTTGAATTTGCAGATCGCGATAGGTACAAAGTGGATTCTTCCGCATTCAGCACGTTGTCAAGGGCGGTGACGACGTCTTGGGCGACCTGCAATTGAAACGAAATGTATGCGTTATTTTAGCTATAGTTTTCCTATCTCTTCGGTCTTCAAAACCACTCTTTAAGAAAAATATATCTAGCAAGTAAACAACTACATTTATATATATATATATATATATATATATATATATATATATATATATATATATATATATATATATACATGTATATAAATATATGAAATGTTATTTAATACTTTTGCAGTTTATAACATGGGATTATTGTTCCTGGTCATTTTCTTTACTTAAGTATCAACCAAAACATTTTACACGATGCAAAAGTTGATGCATCGCAAAAACAAATTACTACGGTAAGATATATTTCCCACTAAGTGAAAGGCCCTTTTCATTTGCTGTGAAAACATGTAGATATATCTTTATAGATATTTAAAATGCCCAAATTGCCGGGGGCGTCTTAGCGCACGCATATATCACCTGTTATCTAAGAGATGAATGCAGAACTATATGCGCTGAAACATCGGTGCGCTGACTCGGAAACACGATCACGCAGGTGTAATCTCCTGTTCTTTGGCATTAAAGATAAGGATAAAGAGACCTGGACGGAATCCGAGCAGCATATTATCAAACTCTGCGCTGATTTGCTTGATATAAGTATTGAGCCAACTGAAATTGAACGAGCACATCGCCTGGGTCGTTTTAAACAGAAAAAAAAAACCGTCCTGTCATTGTCAAATTTTGTTCTTTTAAGAAAAAGGAAACCATTATGTCGTCCGCCCATAAACTGAAAGGCTCTGAATTTGCTGTAAGTGAAGACTTCGCACCAGAAATTCGGCTTGCTCGTAGAAAGCTGTTAGATTTTGGTAGATCTCAAGAGGGTCCTTTTAAACTACGATACGATAAGTTGTGCATTGGTGAACGTACATTCGTGTATGATCAAGCCTCGCAAGAAGTAAAACAAAAAAGCTGGGACCAAGTAGGCTCTTCTGCTGCGAGTACTACAGAATGAAATCAGGTGTCTTCACCAGCAGCTGCAAAAACAAAAAAACATGAAAAGCCAATCCGAATGTTGGTTGTAAACTGCCGTAGTGTCAAAAATAAACTCTCCGAATTATGTGGTCTCATTGAAGCGACAGATCCCTCAATCGTTGTGGGAACTGAATTATGGCTTGATGATAGTGTTAAAGATTGTGAAATATTTCCTCAGGGATATGCAGTATATCGTCATGACCGTAATAGTCACGGCGGAGGGGTGTTATTACTGATTGCTGACGAATTGCACAGCACTCACTTTGAAATTCAGGACAGCTGTGTTGAGTCTGTTTGGTCTCGTATATGTGTAAAAGGGACAACAATCTTAATCGGTGCTTTTTATAGACCCCCCAAATCAGGTCATGAGACATTAGCCATGTTACAAGAAATTATTAATAATATGCCAAATGAGTGTGTAATTTTAGGTGGTGATTTTAATCTTCCAGAAATAGTAATGGACAATGGAAACATTAGAGTGCCAAATACGATCTTATATAAAGAATTTGAATGCCTTGTGAATACTTTTGGTTTTAAACAATATGTCACCCAGCCTACAAGGAAAGACAACACTCTTGGCCTGGTAATGTGCAACTTCCCGGAATATATTGAAAACACAACAGTCATTCCTGGAATAAGTGATCATGATGCAGTTACAGCTGAACTATCCCTTACAAGGCCTCCAAGTCCGAAACATAATAAAAGGAAAGTTTATTTATATAACAAGGGTAATTATACTGCACTTTCACAGGACCTGCAGTCTTTTTTAGCTGTTTTCAATCACAGGGCAAACCTCACAGACATTGAAACATCATGGAACATGTTCAGGGAGAAACTGCACTCTCTTATGAACAAACACATACCCACGAGAAACATTAAAGAGGGAAAAGCTGTCAACAAAGCATGGGCTACTCCAGAACTTTTAAAACTAATAAAACGCCGAAACAGAGCGTTCGGTAAATACTGTAAAAATAAGTCAGAACTAAACAGAAATAGGTTAAAGAGCTTGTCAGCCCAGTACAAGTTACTTGCAGAAAAAAGTAAAATTACATATTTTCAGAGGCTAAATAGCAACTTTGCCAACAACAAAAAAGAGTTTTGGAGGTTCGTGAAGAGTAACAAGAAAACGGACACTACTATACCGGCACTCCTTTTCGAGGGAACTGATGTCACTGATGATACAGCAAAGGCGAACTGTATAAATGAGTATTTCAAATCTGTGTTTAACGCCAAGATACCACCTGGGGACACGTCACGTTTTGTAAATTTAGGTTATCATCCAATGTCGCCGCTTATCATCCAATACAAAGGAATTGAAAAACTGCTGCTTAGTCTCGACACGTCGAAATCAACCGGACCTGACGGCATTCCTGCTGTCGTGCTTAAAAACTGCGCATCTATCTTGTCGTGCTATTTGCAGATTATTTTTACAAAAAGCTTAACTGAGCGCAAGCTTCCAGATGATTGGAAAACCGCCAATGTTGTGCCGATCCACAAAAGCGGTAGCAGAAATGTTGTTAGTAATTATCGGCCTATCTCGTTGACGTCGATCATATGTAAAACTCTTGAGCATGTCGTTTATAGCAGCCTAATCACGCATTTGGAAGATCATAATCACCTTGCAAAAGAACAATATGGTTTCCGGTCCGGTGCATCATGTGTAACGTTGTTAGCTGAATTTCATCATGACATCGCAGTTGCAATTGAGTCCGGAAAGGAGGTTGATTGTGTTTTCCTAGATATGTCCAAGGCATTTGACAAAGTAGATCATTCTCTGTTATTGAGAAAGTTAGAGTGTTTGAATATCCATTCCGATGTTTTAGCCTGGATTGGTAACTACTTAGATGATAGAAAACAATGTGTACTATTGAAGGGTTGTTCATCCAATAACGTTACTGTAACATCTGGTGTTCCCCAAGGTTCGGTGTTGGGACCTCTGCTCTTTCTGACATATATTAATGACATCTGTTCAAACATTTCTTCGCGCTTTAAACTTTTCGCTGACGATTGCGTCATATATAGAGTAATTGAGGAAGACGAAGATTATCTCAAACTTCAATTAGACTTGGACCGAGTGTCAAACTGGTGTATCGATTGGCGAATGGAGCTTAATGCAAAAAAATGCAAAATGGTTAGATTTTCGAGGAAAATGCAAGTCAGAGAAAATATGGGCTATACGGTTAACACTCAACAACTCGAAAGAAAAGAAAATATTCGTTATCTTGGTGTTATTTTCTCAAGCGACTTACTATGGAATAGTCATATTAATTTCATTACTAATAAGGCGAACAGCATGTTAGGATTTCTACGTCGCAATTTTCGCCATTGCCCGAAGGAATTGAAGGAAACTTTATATTTCTCTTTTGTACGTTCAGTTCTGGAATATGCATGCATAGTATGGGACCCCCAGACTAAACATCTATCGGATAAATTAGAACGAGTGCAAAATCGCGGTGCTAGATTTGTCTCAAATATTTATAGGTTCAAAGCGAGCGTCACGGCCATAAAGCAACAGTTACACTGGCAGCCGCTGTCGTACAGACGAAAAAATCTAAGACAAAAATTTTTCTACTGTCTTTATAATGATAAAACTTGCATCAGTAAAGAAAATTACATTCGATGTCCTTTCTACGTGTCGGAAAGAGTGGACCACCAATACAAGGTTGCAACCATTAGCTCTTGTTGTAAATCATATTTTGTTCGAACTGCATTAGAATGGAACATGCTTAACGGAAATGTGTTTCCATCTGTGTTTTCAGCTGAACTGTTCTTTGTAAACCTCTCCCTGCAATAATGCCTCCAAGGCGATGCAGGTAACCTCAATAAAAATAAATAAATAAATAAAGAAATGAATTGATCGTTCTTTTTTTTTTTCTCACCTGTCGACTAACAGCTCCTGTTGACGCAATGTTCTCGACGGTTTTAGCAACATATACAATGTCCAGGGGATCCAAACTCCTCTTTTCCGTAGTGAGCTGCTGAAGTCGGTCCGCAGTTGCACCCATGGACTCACTGCTCACTTCCTCCTTTAGAAACATAACAGTGAAATTATTTTTTGCGTGTGTGTCAGTGTTGATATTCTTTGATTATTTTTTCTGATTGCTGCGGGGAGCAAAAACAACCAAACATTGCCGGTTCATTTAAATTTTGGGTTTTTATATCATCTTGCCAATGTTACTGTAAACGCACGCAATAACTCAAGCTTTTATTTTTTTTTTAATTTCTGAGGCAATAAAAATAGTTAATGCCTGTTTAATATCCCTAAGAAGTAAAAAAAAAAGAAAGATATATTGGGGTTCACATCCCCAAAAATACTTCTTTACTTTGCATGCCATAAATATTTTAAAAAGACACCCATATATCAATACTGTAAAACGCCTGACTCTCACAATACTTCGTTTTCGTAGTTGGGTCTGTGTGCTTTGACCCTGCGTTGTATCCCTTGAAAATTATTCGATAACACTCCCCACTACTTAAGTCACCCGATAAAAAGTATAATAAAATACTTCCCATAAAAACCGATCCTCTTCACAATAAGGAAAGTTGACGCTGGGTTTCAAAGGGCGTGCATAGCCGTTCTTAGAATGCGGACAAACTACGTTCATGGTCACATGATGAGAATAACTGCTTGTTACTTCACGTATGTCAAATTCCACCTAGAAGTCATGGTGAACAGCCTTAAACATTTGCTTCACTTCATCGTCTTCCGTACATATTTAGCGCCAGGATATTGTAATACAGTAGCTTGTCTGATTTTAATTGCTCAGTGCAAAAATGTCTAGTTAAACTAAATATATTTAATTTATTTATTAACGTAATAGCCGACGAAATGCGCATTAAAGTTTTGCGCTAGGCGATGGCTGTCGCCGAAACAGACAAATAAATGGAGCAGCGTCCACTCCCTCCATGAACGGACAAATTGAACGGCCGCGTAATCTGGTGCCCTATAATATGACGGCACTGTTCAACAAGCCACACGCAGAGGTTTGTAAAGGCACGTGC